TCCACCACAAACAAGCATCTTCTTGACGAATATTTCGAGTCAATCTACGTATCCTTGCCCAGGTCATTGTGTGCACACCTGGCAGCTTGGAGCGCTATTTCTCATCCTCCCTCCTCCTCCTCCTCCTTCTCCTCCTCCTCCTCCTCCTCCTCCTCTTCCTCCTCCACCCTCTCGCCGCTGTTTCCTGGAGGGCTTCTCGAGGTGAGCTCGGTGCCCTGAATTTCTGCGAGCCTCTCGGTCCGCTTCCTCCTGCTCCTGCTTTTCAGCGTCTGGCCCCTGCCCTCCTCCTGTCATTCCCTCCCTCCTCGTCTCATCCCTCCTCTTCTTCCCCTCCCTTCCCTCCTTTTCCCTGCCCTCCTCCTGCCGTTGCCTCCCTTCTTCCTCCTCCCTCCTCCCTCCCTCCCTCCCTCCCTCCTTGCTCCTCTTCATTCCTCTTTCTGTCCTCCCTTCCTCCCCCCTCCCTCCCTCCCTGCCTCCTTCCTCCTCTTCACTCCTCTTTCTGTCCTCCCTTCCTCCCTCCCTCCCTTCTTTCCCTCATTCTTGTCTTCCGTTAGGTCGGGCATGCCCTCCTACAGGCCGGTTTTCTATGATAAATTCAAAGCTACCGAAACCATGCCCCCAAATGGCCAACAAATACTCAAAACATCGTCCCCATACGTTTTTGTTGTTGTTGTTGTTGTTGTTGTTGTTGTTGTTGTTGTTGTTGTTGTTGTTGTTGTTGTTGTATCTCTCTATATATAGCTATTTTAGAATATTCATCCTGTAGAGGGACAGGCACGACTTAACATCTTCCTTCCTCCTCCTCCCCCTTGGGTCGGCCTCCCCGCCCCCCCCCCCCCTCTGGAGACGGCAAGGGGCGGACAGCCCACAGAGCGGTGTGTGTGTGTGTGTGTGTGTGTGTGTGTGTGTGTGTGTGTGTGTGTGTGTGTGTGTGTGTGTGTGTGTGTGTGTGTGTGTGTGTGTGTGTGTGTGTGTGTGTGTGTGTGTGTGTGTGTGTGTGTGTGTGTGGGGGGGGGGGGCACTGCGCGCGTTCGCCTGGGAGCCTCGTCGAGCACGCGGGCGATCGGAGGGAAGAGGAAGAAACATAATGATAAGAATAATCGTGCTAGTACTATTAATACCACTGGTCAACCATTAGAAGAGGAAGAGTAAGACGAATAGTAGTAGTAATAGTAGCAATCAGAAGAATACTAATAATACGAATAAGAATAATAACAACAAATGCTAGCTCTAAGGAGGCCCCGCGAGGGGGCAGGACATAGCTGTAACCCGGCTCACCGGCAGGTGAGCTGCTCGAAGAAGTCGGCGTGCGAAATCCCTTCCGATCCGCGAAACGGCGGCGCGATGCCGTCCACGGGAGATCGGAGCCTCGGGACGCGTGCACGTGCAACCGCTCCCTGGGCCATCGCTCCCCGCTGCAGCCCCCCGGCCCTTTCCCCCGCCCCCCCCCTCCCCAGCCGTCCCCCTCGCCCAGGACAGGGGCGGGGATAGCCAGGGTTGGCGGCGAGCGAGGGAGGACGAAGTGAGAAGGAGAAGGCCTCCTCGGGAGGCGGACGGGGCTTCTCGGGAGCCCATCGCGCCTCCCGAGGAGCGTTCCGTGTCTTCGGGGGAGGCCCGGAAGGCCTCTCGGCAGGCCGGGGCTCGCCCCTGCTCACTTCCCCCCCCGGGCTCGCCGCCAAACGGAGGCGGGGGTTGGCGCATCGGCTGCGTGAGGCGGTCGGTTCTGGCGGCGGCGCGTCGAGGCAGGCGCCCGTCGGCGGGGCCAGAACTGGCCGCAGGCAGCTGACTTCGCGGCCCCCCTCTCCCAGATCCCCCCCCCTTGAGAGCCTGTTCTCTATCTATGATTCGCGACCTCGGGCGTGATCGGGTGAGGGGGGGGGGGGTGGAGCTCGTCCCCACGATCACATCACTCAGGGGGGCGTAAGACCCGGGTACAGGGGACTCGGAAATCCCCGACGTGGTCGTCAAAAACACGACGAGGCCGAGCCTGCATTTTGACGAGGCCTCCCGCTGCAGACATCCCACGACACTCCTGCTCGTCAAACTCCGAGTCGCGGTCGTCAAGAAACGATGGCGAACCCGAGTCCTGGCAAACCCGGGTCTTACGCTCCCCCGAATCACGGCGGGGGTCCGTCGGAAGTCTTCGGAAAAACCCTCGGCGAAGAGTCCGCAGGGCATCTTTGTCCGTGTGGGCAGAATGGCGTGACCCGATCGGGGGGGGGGGGAGGGACATCGGGGGGGTGGCCTGTTCTCTATGATTCGCGACATCGGGAGTGATCGGGTGAGGGGGGGGGCGGAGCTCGTCCCCACGATCACGTCACGGCGTGGGGGTCCGTCGGAAGTCTTCGGAAAAAACCTCGGCGAAGAGTCCGCAGGGCATCCTTGTCGGTGTGGGCAGACTGGCGTGGCCCGATCGGGGGGGGGGGAGGGCGGGAGGAGGGAGAGGGCCGAGCACGGCCGTTGTCGCCCCGACCTTAATGAAGGGGCCCCAGGACACACAAACAAATACACACACAAATAGATCGATTCCCCATATGTTCTCATATGTTCTGGGTTGCTGTCTTCCCCCCCACCTCCCCCATTTTCCAATGTTTCCTCGGGAATCGAGGGTTAATTGTGCCTGTGTGTTTCTTCCTCTCCTGACTTGAAACGAATGCTCCTTTCGACCGACCTGAGTGATCCTCGTCGAGTGGTTTTCGGATCACCACTCGGGGTCCCCGCGGCCGTCCGGTACGATCTGGGCACGCCTCGAGTGCCCTCTGCCAGGCGCAGCTGCTCGAGAGCACCCCGAGGCCTGGGAACCGCCGAGAACCGGCGAGAAAACCAGAACGACTCAGGTATCGAACCTCGAACGCCCCTCTTTCCTAACTCCTCCACTTTAGTCCGACTGACTGGTCCCGCCCCTCGGCTGCACGCAGGGAGTGCCCCCTGCGCTCTCTTGCGCGGCTTGCTGGCGGCTGCGAGCGATGCAACAATGGTGAAGTCGGGCGTGTCCCCCTACAGGGGGATTTTGGACGACAAATAATAAATACCCCAAAGATATTCAAACATTGCCCAACAAATGCAAAAACAATCGTACCCAAACAACAATTGTTTTGACTAGTCTTGAACATTCCCCCTGTAGATGATCACATCCGACTTACAACAATGGTGGCCTGCGTATTTGGACTTGTTTTTCCTCCCCACCCACCCCGAAAGCCTCGTTAGCATGCCCGAGAGGGGTATGGAACAAATGGATACGATGCCCAGCAACACATGTTGCTCAACACCGACAGCACCCGCTGTTCGGCAGGCGTCCTGTTGCCTTAAACGGATAACGCCCGCGGCGACATCGACAACGGCTCCCCCCTTCAACATGGAGAGAAACCGATGCCGGCCTTCGTCCGACATCCACGTTCTCTCCGTGATTACCCCATCCGATCGCACCGATCGTGCACCCGACGGGCTACTGCTACCTGCAACCGAATTCCCCCAGCTTCCGTCAGCCTTGTACTCACGCTAACTCTTTGGACACCCGAAATGGGTACCGAAAGAATGGGTACAGTGCCCAACAGCAAGTGTTGTCCCAAACCAACAGCGGCCGCTGTTGGGCGGGAGGCCTCCTGTCTCAAAAGGACACAGGCCGCGGCGGCGTGGACAGCGAGTCCTGTTCAGAATGAACAAGAGCTGCTGTTGGGCATCGTACCCATTCTTTCAGTACCCATTTCGGGCGTGCAGAAACTCAAAAGAAACTTGCAACTTTTACTCCCGCCAACTCCCGCCGGCCTTCCAGCGGAGGCGCCTTCGCCGGCCTTGTGCTGGCGCCTTTGCTGGCCTCCCGCTGTGGCCTTCCGCCGGCGGAGGCGGCGGAAGGCCGCTGGCGGGAACAACTCAGGGGCGCCTCCGCCTGCCTTCCGCCGGCTGAGGCGCCCCTGCTTTGCTTCCGCCAATCTCCGCCGTCGTCCCGCCGGAGCAGCGATACCCATCTCCTGACCCCCGAAGGCGAGGCCAAATCTGGAAGGCCCTGCGTACCACCGAACACTCTTGCACGCCCGCGTTACCCGGGATAACTCCAGTCCGGGGTGACTCTGGCTGTGCCCCCCGACGCAGAAACGAGAAACTCCTCCTGACCCCCCCCCCACAACCCCGATGACTCGGGAGTGGCGGGGCTCCCGAATCATCGGGGATAGCTTTGGTCCGAGGCAGCTGGCAACTCTGGTTTGAGCCCCCGACGCAGGAACCAGGAGTTACCCCTGACCTCTCCCGCAGCTCCGATGATTCGGGTGTGGTGGGGCGCCCCAGTTATTCGGGCGTTCACTCATGGGTGGGGGCGATAGATGGGGGGGGGGGGAAGAAAGGTGCACCTTTCGTGCACCTTCCGGACCCCTTCGGGGCCCGAGGGGGGCTCCTCTGGGGCCCCCTTCGGGCCCCATTGCGTGCAACCCTCGACGCCCCCCGCCCCATTCATCGCCCCCCCCCCCTGACCGAACGCCCGAGTGTTATCCAAGAGAACTCCGGTCCGGGGCTGCTGCCAATCCTGGCTCGGGCCCCCGACCCAGACCCCCGACGCGGTGATTTTCTCAACGCGTCGACCCACCCGAGGTCTCCACCAATTCATCCCCTGGGGCCCGCTTCTCGCCCCGGCTCGTTTTTTTTCTCGCGCTCCCGAGGCCCCAGCGGCTGGGGGCCCCGGAGAGCCCGAGGATAACGAAGAACCACCCTCACGTGCTGTGATCTCTTCGCGACTCTCGGAGGTGTCTGGGGGCGCAGGGGCCAGGAGTTACCCCTGAACCCCCCGCCCAGCCCCGACGACTCGCTGGCCATTGCTCGGACGTCCATTTCCTCTGTGTTTTTCTCGGTTTCGTGCATAGCTTTTTCGCCAACTGATCGAGGATGCTCCTCGATGGTCCCCGCCGAGGAAAAAACGCACACGTCCGAGCGATGCCAGGACTCGGGGCTCAGCTTTCCCCGCCCCGCGCCCGCCACCGCCCGCCCCCCCCCCCACGCCGCAGGGGCGGCGCCTCCAGCCCCTGCCGCGCGCCCTCGGACCTGTGTCGGGGCAGCGCCCGCCGCGGGGGCAAGGTGGCCCCGCCCCCCTCCTCGCGTGCACGCTGCGCGCGCAGATCCATGTCCCAAACGAAGCACGCTGCTCTTTGTCTGTATTCCCCAAGCAGTGCTTGCACTGAAGGAATCCTCGCACATGTTTTGACAATTTTGAGAAGCTGCCCGGGCCGATTTCGCTGGGAGGGTGGGCTCCCGGGTTCCCTGCTCCGGGTTCTTGGGCTCCCGGTTGTTGGCTCTGGGCCGATTTCGGTCGGCGGCGAAGCTCCCACCTCTCTATCGATCTCATCGTCCTCACAACCGATATCGCAATCGATCTCGAAATCGATGTCATAATCGGTTCCATTATAGATCACGCGTGCGATCTCACGATCGATCTCACTGAATCGACTTCACGATCGGTCTCACGATTGGCCTCACTGTCGTCCTTACTATCGATCCCACGGTCGCTATCACTACTGACGATTTCACAATCGGTCTCAATATCCATATGGCGATTTTTCAAACCATCCACTGATTGGGGTGTTCTCTGGTGTAATAGATGCGGACTGTAATCATGTATTCACATGTGTACGTGGATGCGTATGTATTCGGCTAAACACAAATTGGCTTGTCTACCCGGGCGACCAGGAAGGACGTGCAGGTTGCGAGGCGGCAGGAACACATATTTATATACATGTGGGTGTATATATAGGTATGGAGCAAGTTATGCCATGAGTGGTGCACACACACACACACGTCGCTGCTCAAATGGAATCATCACTCGTTAGATTCAACCGCCGAATTATCGAGAAGTCTGAACTCACCCACGTCGTTGTGAGGGAGAGCCGGACACACTGAGACAAAACAGCGATGGCACGGAGCGGTCGCCCACCAGACCAAAGCAAGAGACGTTAAAAACATAACGTTGCTTAAGCACAAGCTCTACATGGGCACCCAAAACGGACTTGCAGGGCGCGAAGAGGTAGGAACATCTATCGATCATCTTCAGCCAAATGATGAACAGACGCGTCGCTTCTCAAGTGATACCATTACAGGTAAGATTCAGCGGCTGAGTTACCGAGAATTCAGAACTCACGCCGTACCGTATTGACGAGGTGAGGGAGAGGGCGAGAGGGTGCATTCCCTGGACTGCTGAAAACCAGGTGCACACACACTGCGCAGTCTCTTGAGGGCGCCACCGGCGCGGCGCGCAAGGGCTGAGGCTGAAGGGGCATCTTGCCCAGCTGTCGCCTCTGAGTGCCATGCCTTGACGCTGGCACCTGCTCTCGAACCGAACAAAACCTTTGAGGGCCGCGTCGGGGCTCTGGCCTCCGTGCCGGGCGCAGCGCGGAGTGGCCCGAAGCCTGGACAGGCAGGCGCCAGCGGCGGCCTCGTCGAATCGCTGCGCGTGCCTGGCCGGCCTGAGCGGGCACAGCGGGCAAGTGGGTCGGCCGCGGCGCTCTGCCTACAGCAGGGCGCCACGGCACACTGCGCGGCCTGCCTCGTGGCTCGCCTCGTCCCTGGAGACGACGGTGCAGTCGTGGTCCCCAGACTTCGTCGAGGGATCCAGCCTGCTGTCCCATGTCGCCGGCCTGCGGCGGCAGGGTGACCACCCGCTTCGGGTAGTTCGAGTAGGAGCCAGCGATGCCCTTGCTCGCGTCTGTGTCGGTGACAGCAAGCGTGTTTTTTTTATTGGGAAGAACGGAGATGGGGAGCGCGAGACAACTGAAACTCACTACGGCGCGACTGGGTGACTGGCACAGTAACGTAAAGCAGAAGATCGCCAGGCAAACTCGGATCGCTATATGAGCCGACCTGCCAATAGGCAAATTATTCGATAAGCTGTAGCCTGGGGGGGGTAAGAAACGACGAAAGCCAAGAAGAGCCGGGACAAACATCAACCGAAACCGCAAGACCTGAAGATAAAACCGGGTAACTCATTATCGAGAACAAAGCGCGCGAAAGAGAGATACCTCTCGAAATGATGTGATCGAAATGGCGTGCTCGAAAATGTTGCGCCAAAGCCGGAACCGCCCTGGACACACCTCCAAGCCTAGCGACGGCTGGTGTCATTACGAGCACAGCCGAAACAAAAAACTAATGTCACAGCGGTTCTGATTGACGTGACCTCGGCGAATGCAGGGGCGAGCGCGCGAAGCGGGCCAGCACGCAAGACCCGCCGGAGCCTGAGTGTGCTGGGCCTGACACGGCCGTCGTAGCTGACCAACATGGCCCCACTGGCGTCGATCCCCTCGGGGCCTTTCGCGATGAAGACCGCTCCCTGCCACGGGGGCTGGCCTTGCACCAGCCGGCCAGGGCGTCCGTCCTTTGACCTGCTCATGGTCGTGGCGGCCTCCCGGGGATAGTCCTTCACGAAGACCGCCCCCTGCACGGCGCTCCTGGCGCTGACGATGCTGAGGCCCTGGCAGTACGTAATTGTGGCCCAGGTACTTCACCATGGCAGCGTCGGTCCCGTCCCAGACCCCCGACGTTATGATTTTTTCATGACGTCGACCCCCAGAGGTTTCGACCTATTCCCTGGGACCGGTTTTTCATCCCGAGTCGTTTTTCGACGGCCCCGAGGCCCGGCCAGGGCCCCCAGAGGCCGAAACCTGCGAAACACCGCCCGTCGTGATCTTTGTCACTGCTCGAGGGGGTCGAGGAGGTCGAGGGCCCCCTGGGCGGAGGAGCTGCTCGCAGGCCCACGCGCTGCACTCCTGGCGGGCGCCCCGCTGCCGCTCTGCGCGGCGTGCGCGGCGGCGCGCCGGCTGGTGCTTTTCGGGTGCGGCCCAGTGAGCCCCCCTGCCGCCCCCGCTGGACCCAGCGAGAGCCGCTGCGCTCGGTGCGGCGTGGACCCTCGGCCTCTTCGGGGACGTCCGAGAGTAACGGGGACCTGGGACACACAAATAAGTACACACAAATAAAAAGAAGACAGCCCCAAGACCGTCCAAGAAGCCTTCAAGACGTCCCAGGCCCCCTCCAAGAGACCCCCAGGAAGCCACAAGAGGCCCCCACGAGGCTTCCAAGCGGCCCCTAAGAGCTTCCCAAGAGGCCCACAAACTACCCCCAAGAGGCCCCCAAGAGCGCTCGTCGTCGTCGTCGTCGTCGTCGCCATTCAGGGTCGGCGGCACTGGCCGTAAGGCCTTCGCAATACACACACATAAAAAGATTCCCTCTATTTTCCCATAGTTTCTAGGTTTTTGTCTTCCCCCCCACTTCCCATATTTTCCCAATATTTTCTGGGGGATCGACGATTCATTGTGTCTGTGTGTTTGTTCCCTCCTGAGAGAGAGGGGGGCGCCCAAGAGAGGGGGGGGGCGCAAAATCTTGGCCGGCGGCAGGCGCGCGGCCCCGGGGGGAGGGACCGGGGACGTCTTGAGAAAAGGAGAGGCGCCGTGAAATCTGGGAAGATATATCGTGGCCTGCCCCCGCCATGACAGAGCCGCCCCCCCTAATGCGGGATGACGATTAATACAAAAAATGGGGGAGAACGATTAAACAATGGTTTTCTGCCATTTCTGCACAATTTTCTGACTGGAGGAGAACGATTACAAGAGATAGTTTTCCAGCCCGCGGCCAGTTTTTTCTAATCGTCATCCCGGGCGCCGCCGCGTGAACACGACCCCCGGTCATTTATTAATCGTCATCCTCCATTCGTCATCAGCCCCCTTGTGGCCGCCCCCGACTCCTGGCGGCCTCCGAGGCGCCCGACCACGGGGGCCGGTCCAGGCGGCGCCCCGCTGCGGCGCCAGGGCGGCCCGCTCGGGGGGCGCGACCCGGCCGGGAGCTCGGGCCGCGGGCGCCGGAGCTGGGCGTCGGTGCCAGGGTACAGTCGGGGCGTTGACCTAAGGAGCCTAAGGAACTTCGACTTCCCATCGAAAACACAAGAAAAAAACCTAAGGGTACAGTCGGGGCGTTGACCTAAGGAACCCTAGATAAGGCCCCAAGCGATGCCCCAAAGGGGGAACCCAAAGCAAAACTTCGAGCCCTCGGCCTTAAGAAGCCCCCAGGAGGCCTCGAGAGGCCCCTGAGAGGCCCCAAAAGCCCCCAAGGGGCCCTCAGGAGGCCCCCAAGCGACGCTGAAGAGGCCCCCCAGCGGCCCCAAGAGGCTCAGTCATGCGAAATGGGCCGGCGGAATGAGCGAAGCGATTGGATAAGGCACGAGGCCCCTTTTTTCCACAAGTTGAACTTCGACTTCCCATCGAAAACACAAGAAAAAAACCTGAGGCAAGCTGTGAAACAATCAAGGAACACCGAGCCCCTCCCCAACGAAAAGGGTTCCTTCTTCAGCGCCCCGACTGTAGTTGGCCACCAGCTCACTGTCCCAGTCGTTGCAAACCAGAAGGCCGGCATGACCGCATCGTGCGCTCTGGGGCGCGGTGGCGCTGAGCAGATGGGCCCACCGACGGCAGAGCTCGGGGCCATACGCGCCCGCCAAGCTCGTCTTCCAATGGTTGCGAGGTCCGCCTCATGGCGTCGTGATGGTGACCTTGCCCTGGAGGACTTCATGATTATGATCTGCAGAGCCGCTCGAGCGATGAGATCTCGGGGAGGTTAGATGCGATGTAGGTGGGCATGGCCATAGTGAACCAGAGCCCAGGTACCTCCAGATGCCTTCGTGAAGTCGGTAATGCAGAAAAAGAAAAAGCCGCACAAACATGAACTTTTGGCGCTCCGCGCGGATTTCTTGGATTCGCGCCTGGTCCCCCCTCCCCTAGCGCGCGGAGCGCGCCGAGGGCGGCGCCGGAGGTGCCGCCGGGGGGGGCGCTGGAGAATCCTGCGTGCAGGGGTGTGCTCGCGCTGTCGGGGGCGCGGGGAGGCGACGGCCATGGGGCCGTGTGCAGGCCTCGCGGGGGCAGGCGACCTCTCTCCCCTGGGGCTTGCGGCACGACGGGGTCGATCGCCGAATCCGCTGGTGCTGAGGCTGGCCGTGAAGCCGACAGTGGGATCGATCGAGTGAGATCGAAAGCGGGGACGATAGCGACAGTACAGTGTGGGCGCGGCCGCAAACAACCCTCGCAAAAAACCCAACCCTGAGAACCCGCGCGCGAGGTGCACCAGAGGGGAAACCCGGAGCACCCTGAACGCAGCAGCTCCTTCAACGGCTGCGGGACGTCACCGCGCAGCGCGAGGAGCGAAGAAACCCAGAATACCCCGACGAAAAGCAGATGGTTTCTTGATGCGAGCCCCCACTGTACACCAGAGCGAAACATCGCCATCACGCGCCAGCATCCTCCTCCTCCTCCTCATCATCATCATGATCATCATCGTGATCATCATCATCATCATCATCATCACCACCACCACCACCACCACCACCATCATCATCATCATCATCATCATCAGCATCATCATCATCATCATCATCATGATCATGATCATGATCATGATCATGATCATCATCATCATCATCATCATCATCATCATCACCATCACCATCACCATCACCATCACCATCATCATCATCATCATCACCACCATCACCATCATCACCATCACCGTCATCATCATCATCAGCAGCATCATCATCATCGAACCCATCGCATCTGCCAACAATTGGTTCTTCCGCCCCACACCCCTCATGTGGGACACCCCGGGCCACCGCGCGCCCAAAGAGGGCGGAGGGGTGGTCCACTGCATCCGAATCGCCCTAACGACGGCGGGGTCATTCCTCTCGCGCGCCCACGCAGCTTCGCCTCGCCCGCACGCACGGAACGAACAAAGCCGAAACCGATTTCCCGGTGGGGGGGCTCTCCGTTAGAATGCGACCTCATCCCCCGACCTCCGATCTATCATCCTCTATGTGGCGGGCTCACGAAGCCCTGAATTCCAAAAATCTTGCCATCTCTTGGGGGCGCATCTTTTACGTTCGCTGGCTTTCGCCGTTTTTTCCGCCGGCGGAGGCAGCCTCGCTCTACTTCTGCGTGCTTCCGCCGCCCTTCCGCCACCTTCTGCGAAGGAAGAGATGCCAACTCTTGAAATCTTGGAACGCCTTATGTTTCTAGGTGTCCGTAAATCGGCTCCAATCAACTGAGACCTGTCCAGAAAAGAAGCGAGCGGGCGGCGAAACGACCTGCTGGTCGAAAGCTCACACGCAATAGCTGGCCCCTCCTCTTTATTCAGCGAACTTTCCTTTGGAATATTAAGAAGAAAACTAGGGGGACACGAAACGGCCAGCACTTATCACGCACTCGCACTGCCGCCAAAACCGAGCACCAGAGCCAGAACTCGGAGGGGGAAGACGAGGACGAGGAGGAAGGAGAGAATGCAGCGTGGTTGCCTAAAAAGGTTGGCACGCGCCTCGGCTGCTTTGAACCCTGACTGGGACCAGAAGTGAGACAATCACGGGCGAGAAGAGGAAGGAAGAGAAAGAGAAGGAAGGGAGGAAGGCAACAAGGAATGAGAGTGGGCAGCGTGGCTGTCTAACTGGCCGCGTGGTGTAACGGCCAGGACTCTGGAAATACACCCAGACCAAAGACAAAACAAACACATCCTTCAAGAACATGGGACCCTCCGCCGGCCAAGCTGCAGAACCTTCGAGGGTGCCCTCCCACAGGATGCCTAAGAACATCCAGCACACACGACGAACATTAGGGCACCCCAGCCGACCTCGACCTTCTACCTCGCTCCGACCCTAGCTTCAGCTCGGGCATGTCCTCCTACAGGTGGATTTTGGACGAAGAATAGAAACAGGCCACAAGACTACATCAAGCACTTGCCAAACAAATCTTCAAAACATCGTCCCCGTATTATTATTATTATTATTATTATTATTATTATTATTACTATTATTATTACTATTATTATTACTACTATTACTATTATTATTTACTATTTCTGAATCTATTGGGAAACCAGAAATTACCGATACGGCTACTCCCCAGATCTCTCCTGGGGTGCGTTCTGGCCAGAATTTCGAGGCGAATGCAACGGTGGCGACGAGGGCCTCCCAGGAGGCTCAAGAAAGGGGAAACGAGGGGAGGGTAGCGGCATGGGTATCTTTGCCTCCTCTGACTCTCCCCCCCGTGGAGGGACAGGCCCGACTTCAAGGCCAGGAGCCCCGGCCGCAGGCGGACTGTCCGGCGGCGCGCGGCTGCGCTGCAGGGTGGCCGGCCGGGCCCCTCCCCGCCCTCCACAGGAGAGGGCACCGACCACTACATTTCGGTCGGGCGCGTCCCCCCACGGCCGGATTTTGGGCGAGACATACAGCATAGCAAATAAGAAAGAGATTCAAACTTTTGGGCGAAGCATAAAAAATAGTGCAAAGAGCAACTAGATATTCAATAATAGCCAAGGATAGTCCCAAAGTCGTCCCCAGACTGTTTTTTGTCAGTTTTTGAACTTTCCTCCTGTGGAGGAACACGCCCGACGCAACAAAAGGGAGGTGAGCAAGGGCGGGCGTTCTCGGAAGGCTCGGAGGCCCCCCCCCCCGGCGTCCCGAGAAGCTGCCCAGGCCTTCCCCGAGGGCGCGCAAGGCCTCGCAGAAGGCCAGAGGCCTTCTGAGAAGTCCCGCCGCCTTGTGAACGTTTCTTTATTCTGCGTTTCGACATTGGGCGGAAGGGGGGGGGAAGGGGGGGAGGGGTCTGCCTGGAGACCTCTGCTCAGTACGACTGTGTTGGGACCGTGCGTCCTATGGGGGAGGCTCCACCTGCCCGCAACAGGCGCCTAACAAACAGTCAAGATCTACTCCATGGGGGGGGAGGGGCCCCAGAAACGGCAGGGCCGTTTTTGTCACCGTTTCCGAAAAAGGGTCCCTTGAAAACGGAGACGGCAAAAAAACGGCGACCGGAAACGGCAACAAAAACGGTTCCATTCCAGGATTGGAACCGGAGCCGGAACCGGTCAAACAACGGCGACGGAACCGGTAAAAAAACAGCGTCGGAACCGGCAACAAAAACGGCAAAACGGAACCGGTAACAAAACGGCCCTGTCGTTTCCAGGGCCCACTGAAGGGGGGGAGTGCGAGGGCCCGCGCCGATCGGCAAAACACAAGGCATAAAAAACGCCCGCCTTCTGAGAGAGCCTCCCCCGCCTCGCTGCCCCCCCCCCTCGCGCGCCGCCGCCGAGCAGCCCGCCGTCGCTCGGGCGTTCCCTCCCCGTGCACTGCTCGGCCTCGGGCGTGCCCTTCTTGCCAGGCGACCCAGGCTGCTCCGCGAGGGCCCTCGCCGAGGCAAACGTGCACACGTCCGAGCGCTGCCCGGGCGCGACGAGGCAGGGCGCGACGAGGCCATGGCCACCCGCGGTGCCCGGAGCCCCCGCGGGGCAGGGGCACGCGGCCCGACAGGGCGTATGTCGGGCGTGTCCCCCCTACAGGGGATTTTCGACGAAAAATGAAAAATGCTCAAAAAATCCCAAAAGAGGCCCAGAAAATACCAACAAACTTGTCCCCAGAACTATTTTTTGACCATTTTTGAATATATCCCCCCTGTAGAGGGACAGGCCCGACTTACGACAGGGCGTCCACGGCTCATCTGCCGGGGGCTGCGCGCTGCCCCCCACGCCAGGGCTCGACCACAACGTTGCTTGCCGTTTTCGTTTTGCTCTCGTCTTCCCTCGTGCTGTCTCCGATCCGCCCCTGCTGCAAAACGCGGTCGAGCCGAAAACATCACATCATATCGCCCAACCACCGTTTAATCAGGTCGACCCCTGCTGCCCTCCACCCCAACACCAGAACGGCGGGCGCGACACAAAGAAACCCTGCGCGAAGTTCATCCCATAAGGGCAGGGGAGTGGAAGGGGGTGCTGAATCGGAGAAGGCGCGCAACTCGGCCTCTTGGAGGCATGCTCGAAGCTATCCTGAGCGATCTCGGGATATCTTGTGACATTTTGGAGGACATCTTGGGCTAACTCTCTGGGGCCCTCTTAAGCTCTTCGGGCCGTCTTGGGCCACCTGGACTCGCTAACCCCTTGCGAAGCCCCCCGTTTGAACCAGGAGAGAAGGACGAGGAGAGAACGAAGGGATACCCCGAAGCGGCGCCCCCTTGTGGTTGGGGTCGTGCCGGGCCCACTCCGCCGCAGACGAGATCGTCCACGCGCTCGCCCACCACCAACTCGTGCTTCATTATCCTGCTCGTGCTCCCCCTTTCCCCTTTCCTCGCTCATTCTGGCTCCTCGCTGTTCGCTCCTCGCTCCTCGCCCTATCGCCCCTCGCTCAACCTCCCTTTTCCTAGCTTTTCCTCGCCCTCGTCCTTCTCCTCCTCCTCCTCCTCCTCCTCCTCCTCCTCCTCCTCCTCCTCCTCCTCCTCCTCCTCTCCCTCCTCCCTCCCCTCCTCCCTCCCTCCCTCCATGCCTCCCTCCCTCCCTCCCTCCCCTTCTTCCTCCTCCTCCTCCCTCCCCCCCTCCCTGCTCCTCAATCCCTGCCCCCCCCGCCCGTCCAAGAGGAGGCGTTATCATGAGGGCGAATATCCCTTCACCCCCGTGGTCTGTGGCCGCCCAAAGGAGCCTCCGCAAGAGCCGCTGCGCGCTGTGCAGATCGTACCGCGCCTGCCCAGGGGGAGGCCAGAGGAGTCTGCTTCTCCCCCTCTTCTTCCTCCTCCTCCTCCTCCTCCTCCTCCTCCTCCTCCTCCTCCTCCTCCCTCCTCCCTCCTCCTCCTCCTCCTCCTCTCCTCTCCTCCCTCCTCCTCCTCCTCCTCCTCTCCTCCCCCTCCTCCTCTCCTCCTCCTCCTCCTCCTCCTCCTCCTCCCCCTGCTCCTCCTCCTCCTCCTCCTCCCTGTTTATTGATGTTGTCAGAACTGTTTGTTTTTGGTTGATGCCAGACTTTCTACATGTCTTTATTGTTTCCTCTCTCCCTTTCTCTCTGTCTCTCTCTCTCTCTCTCTCTCCTTCGCCTGGCATGTTGGATGGTCCAAACTATGTGTCTCTCAATGCCGCTCCGGCGTCCCCACGACCGCGGTCAACCAGCCCGAGGCCTCGTTGCCACATGCTTGCCTCCGTGGGGATGGAGGTCTGACCTGGGCGCTGCTGTCCCCCAGATCACATCTCCTGGCGAGCCATCTCTACTACTCATGAGTCATGAGGGGAGCCCAACATCGCGCTGGCAGGAGGACGACGACAAGGATGAAGAAGACGGAGGAGCGAGAGGAAGAAGAGGCAGAGGAACATCCAGGCCTGCCCCGACTTTCCGCACGTAGCGTCAATGCACCCTCAAAGTTTACATGACGTTTCGCGGATCATCTACCTCTGGAACACAGCGGCGGCGTTCCAGATTCCTAGGGACGTCGAACTGACATGACGATGGAAGGATCAGAAACATGTGGCAGACGACGGGTCCAACAACGCTCCTATTCGAGGACGGGGCGGGGGAAGACGGCAAGGGAGAGGAGCGAGGAGGACGGGGGAGGGCGAGGACGAGGGCGAGACTGAGGAGGAGTAGGAGGCCAACAAGGGCAATGGCAAGCTGACCACAGCCGGGGGGGCTGTGCTGATCACCACCCCAGGGGAACAGGTCGCATCGGTGGTCCCTCGAGAGAGGTGCTGAAACCGATGGCTGCGGCTTCACGCAGGTGGCCCCAGGCACAAATGACCCCTGGTGCGCGGCGTGAGGGGGCGCGCGGGCGGCCAATCCCAAGCGCGCGACCCGCTGTGGCCTTCTCGCAATCAGCGATCGAGAGTCCCCTCCTCCTTCTCCTCCTTCTCCTCCTCCTCCTCCTCCGATCCAGAGCCCCGAATTCCGAACCCTGAATTCGGAGTTCCGACTTGGGCCTCTTCATCTACATCCTGCGGATCGCTGCTCCCACTCTGACGATGGGCCACTCTTCAGTGCGGCCGAGGGCCGAGATGCAGCCATCGTGCTACCAAAAGGCACGCTGAACAGAAAGCGAAGGATTTGTTGCTGGCTAGGGCGAGCCCCGACCTAGATTTTGGGAACGGTTCAAAAAGCCAGAGACACTCCTGAAGCCGAGGTGGTCCTTGCGTCAGCGTCTTGAGTGTAGGTCCTCCAGGGGTCAGATCCCAAACAGACCCGAAGAAGAGCTGTTGGTGCGAGGGGCGCTTGGTCATCCGTCCGGCCTCTCTGTCCAAGGACACCCGTGTCTTGGCAGCGTGCTGTGTGAGCCTGGCACCCTGACAGGGCGACTCCCCCAGCTGTGGCCGGCCAGGCCTTGGGCCAAAGCCTCTGCCCACCCCCTGCGCCCAGTGAGGGAGACCAGCTCGGGGGAGAAGCACGCTGAGCTGGAACTGGCAACACACCACCCACAGAAGGGCGGTGCGCACCCGATAGCGAGCGGGTCACAACTTGGGCCTCCGGTGGTCACGACCCGGGCACCCCCAGAAAAAAACTCTCGGCGGGGCGCGGCCGCTGGAAGGCACCCCGGGGAGGAAGACCACCGAAAACCGACGAGACCGTCCGACCCCGCCCCCCCCCCCCGATGCCCTCCTCGCTCCTCTCCTTCTGGCCTCCTCTTCGCTCTTCCCCTCTCCCGTTCTGCGTGTCGTAGTGACGCCTGTCCTGATGGGCCCCTGCGCCGAATTAGACTTGTAACCCCAAACCCCTCTCCCCTGAGCCTCCCCCCCCCTCTAGCGTGGGCATTCTACCTCTCAATATGTTCCACACGGGCCCCAGACCTCTCGACTAATTTCTCGGGACCAGTTTTTGTTCATCCCGTGCCGCTGTTTGACGGTCCTGAGGCTCGATGAGGGCCCAATTAGGGCCCCGAGATGCCGAACACCATGACAAATCTCCGCCTCGATGATCTCGAGACGCCGCATGTCTGGATCAACGCTGTCCCTGTGAGCTCGAGGCCTCCCAGATGGGGTACGGGCAGATGGGGTCGGAGGATCGCGCCGCATCGCTGACGAGGGCGTTAAGAACATGGGGCTTCACATCGAGCCGCAACGCTGAAGCATCTTCAAAGCGGCGACGATCCTCCGACCCCATCTGGGATGGGCGTCACCCCAACATACTAATACTATGTGTGTCGCCCCCCCAAGGGCGACGCATGCAACGAGCAATCTTATAGTATATGCGCCGTGGCGGGCGCTTTCTGGCAACACCGCTCGGGAAACGATTATACTACAAGCTGGGTATACTGTATGTTCGGGTCGGACGCGCGCCTCCAATGATGATATATAGTATTAGTGTCTCTGTGCGTCCATAGAGGCCTCCTGGACGGGGTCCGAGTAGATGGGGTCGGAGGGTCGCGCCGCATCGCCAATGCATCGGCGACGTCAGCGTTGCATCGGCGACGCCGACTCGGGCCCCGCATCGAGCTGCATCGACGATACATCGGCGTTGTGGCGTGATCCTTCGCCCCCATCTGCTCGGACCCCATCTAGCAGGCCTAAAGTCCAATGCGGGCGCATCTTTGGGGGGCGCATCATCGCCGCCTTCCGCCGCGGAAGAGATGGCAACTCCTTCGATCCTCGGAGGCAAGGTCCTCCTTATAACGCCCCATATAATATTCGTGTCATGCTGCTCCCATCGTACTTAACGACCATCCCAGAAATAATCTGGCACCCAGACAAGTATCGAAACAATGTCGAAAGAGTATCGCCTCAAAGGGCCCGACACGCGAAAACCCTGCTGCTTCGGTACTGTCTTGGTGCTCGAACTTCTTTCTGGTGATCAAGGCTAAAGTCGGATGGAACAGCATAATATTAGTATGTCTCTGTGCGTCCAATGGGAAGCTTAGAACTTGAAAGCAATTTGCACGCCCGAAATGGCTATGGAAAAAATGGATACAATGCCCAACCACAAATGTTGTCCCAAACCAACAGCGGCTGCTGTTGGGCAGGCGGCTTTCTGTCTGACGCGGACACAGCCACGGGCGGCGCGGACAGCGACTCCTGTTTCAAATGAACATGAACTGCTGTGGGGCATTGTACCATTATTTCCGTACCCATTTCCTAAGCATTTTCTTAGGGTAGAGGGCTCAGGGTGAAATCCATATGGGCTTTTGCACCTCGAAAAGCAGTCCGTCGTGTGGTTCGCCCTTTGCAAATTCAGGCCTCGAACATCCATCGAATCGGCATTCCGAACTCCAGATTTCACCCTTTGCCCTCCACCCAAAGAAAATGCTCGGACTTCGTTCGTGCCGAAACAGGTAAGGAATCAAACTCTATACACCGACGCTTCTTCCGGCCCTGCGTCAGAATTTGCACTGGGGAGCGGATCCTCGTGCATACGGGACCCTGGTGAATGCATTTTTCGTTGTTTCCCTGGGGCATCGGGGAAACAAGTATACACCACACCACCCCAGCGTCGTCCTCGACCCTCAAGAAATCCTGGGATTGAAAAACAGCCCGCCTCTGGTAATGTACCCAGACATGCGACGTCCTGATTTTTTCAAGACGGGGTCCCCAGAAGTCCCGACCCTTTCCCCGGGACCGGTTTCTCATCCTGAGTCCTTTTTTGACGGCCCCGAGGCCCAGCGAAGGCCCCCAGGGGCCGAAAATGGCGAAAAAGTGGCCGTCCAGATTCTTTTATACGACGCGATCCTGTCTGGGTAGACGTTCAAGCTCACGCCCGGGCCCTGGATGCGGGCAATACTGAAATCCATATCCAGAGCGTCGTGGACTTGTTGGGAAGGGGTGCCGCAAGGCCGAGGCACACTGGATATGGGCAATCATCGAACCTTCTGGGGCAAGATCTTTATCCATCTCCAGTGCGCCTCCGGTTTCTGGGGAAGAGAGCCCAAAGCTCCAAGACGCACTGGACCCTGACCCCCGACGTCGTGAATTTTTCATGACGTCGACCCCCAACTGTCTGGACCCATTCCCCGGGACCGGTTTTTCGTCCTGAGTCGTTTTTTGACGGTCCCGAGGGCCGGTAAGTGCCCCCAGAGGCCAAAAATATTGAAAAACCTCCCGTCGTGATTTTTTCATAACTCGAGGGGGTCTGGGGATGTGGATATCACTGGTGCCCGCGCTGGACCCGGGCCGCCGGGGCGGCCTGCAGCTCGCCCCGGCCCGCCTCGGCCGCGGCCTCCCGGTGCTCCGCCGCGGCCTCCTCGGCCGCGCGCAGCCTGCGGCGGGCCGGCCGCGGGCACGCCGTCGACGTCGCCGCGCCGCACCGGCCACGGCGCGCACCGGCCGCGGCACCCGCCCGCCAGAAGGGCGCCCGCCGACCGCCACCGGGCGGTCGGCGCATTCCCAGACCCCCTCGCGCAATGAAAAAACCACGACGGGAAGTTTTGCAAGATGTTCGGCCCCTGGGGGCCCTTACCGGGCCTCGGGACCGTCAAAAAACGACTCGGGATGACGAACCGGTCCCGGGGGGATGGGTTCAGACCTCTGGGGGTCGACCTTCTGAAAAAATCATGACGTCGGGGGTCTGGGTTTCTGGCGGCGTTTCTACAGGATGGCACAGGGACGCACAAGTAAACTCGCGGGCCCAACGGGCCAGAGGCGTGCTAAGATCTCCGGTAGCTGGTTAATAGTATTTCTAGTTCGCGCGCGCGGAGCGGCCCCTGGGGGCCCCGGACGAAAAGTACCCGGGCAAGGTCCCGGGAGAAGCCACCAGAGCACTCCAGGGGAGGGCCATTTTTCGACACCCCTCACGAGGATCGTGGCCTCCGAGGGGGGAGCCGCAATCGACTACCCCCCCTCCCGGCCCAAGAGGCCCCCATGCAGAAGCCCCCCAAGAGGCCCTGGGGGCCCCCAAGACGCCGCCAAGGAGCCCCAAGAAACTCCCAAGAGGTCACCAAGAGGCCCCCAAGAGGCCCTAAAGAGGGCTCCAGGGCCGGCGGAATGAGCGAAGCGATTAAATAACTACACACAGGTCCCAGGCTCCCCCTATTTTCCAACATTTTCTGGAGTCTTGTCTTCCACCCCGCTTCTCAAATGTTCCTATGTTTTCCCAGGAGTGTCTTCCACCCCACCTCCGATATTTTCCCATATTTTCCACGGGGTCGACGATTACTTGTGCCTGTGTGTTTTTCCCCCCCTGGGTTTATAGCCCCCCGCTTACGAACACCCGGTCGGCGTGAGGTTAACCTCACGCCGACCGGATGTTCGTAAGCGTTTTTTTTGGCCTGAGTCGTTGTTTGACCGTCTTGAGGCCCGGTAAAGGCCACCAGAGGCTGAACATTGTGAAAAAACGGGCCGTCTCGCCTTCTCCATGGCTCGAAGGGGCCTGGGGACACCTCGAATCTCGAATCCCGGCTCCTCCACGGCAACGGCTCTCGGTCCGCATGGCCGCGGCCGCGGTTGTGGCAAACCGCGGGGCATTGAGCAGGGACCGACCGTCCTGGCATCCCTATAGTCCTACCACGAAGTGTTCTTAGAACCTACAAAGGTTCTTTCCTGGAGCATAGATCCGATGTGATAAAACAAGGCAGACTCCGCCAGAAATGTTCTGAGAACATGTTGTGGAAACCACACAAGGCTCTTAGAACATTATTTAGCAGGCCTATAGGCGAGCCAGGACGCTTCGCCACTGGCAGGAGCGGTTGGCTTCCAATCGAAACGTCGGCTCGGCTCGGAACGTGCGTCGAATCCGGCCTGGCGGGCACGGCGTCGAAGCCGAGCTGGAGCGGCCGTGCCCAGGTGCACACAAGCATGGCGAGCAGCAACGGCTCGCCGAGATCTCGGAATCGAGCCGGCCAGACGCGAGAATGCATCGGACCGACCGGACCGAAACGTACCCACCCCTTTCCGGAGTGAGGTCCAGCTTTCTGCAGCCTCGCCGGCTCCGCCCAGCGCACGAAGCGGCCACGGGGCGGCCACGGGCGGCAACGTGGCGACCCCTCGCTGGACCCACCCGGCGCACGAGGCTGCCACGGGCGGCAACGCGGACAATCCCCGCCTGACCCATCCACTTCGTTCGTGTCGCAGATGGGAGCCCTTATTTTAGTGCAGGCACTGCTTGGGGAACAGCGCTGGGATTGAACAAATCATATCGTCGGAGATGTGGAGACCGCACCGATCGCATCGGCGTGAACCCCTGCATTCGACTCGACCCCTTGGAGTGCCTAAGTGGAATCACCACTGGGGGGGCCGCCCTCTCCGAGATGAAGCGCCAATCACTCCTCCAGGAAATCTGGGCTCCAAGGAGATCCAGAGCCCACCAGCAAGACCCCGAGCAGCCGCAAAACCTCCTCGAGCCTCGATCCCGAAGCCTCGGCCCTCGGGGGTCGCAGCGGTGCCCCACCGCGATCCTCGGGAGGCGCCGGCGACCCCGATGGCGGTGATCCCCCCCCACCCGGCAGGCAGGATGTCTTGTCTCCGCGGCCTGCCGAACGAGCAGGGCGCGAGTAGGAGGAGGAGGCGGAGGCGGAGGAGGAGGAGGAGGAGGAGGCGGAGAAGGCGGAGGAGGAGGAGGACGAGGAGGAGGAGGCGGAGGAGGAGGAGGAGGAGGAGGAGGAGGAGGCGGAGGAGGCGGAGGAGGCGGAGGAGGCGGAGGAGCGGAGGAGGCGGAAGGAGGCGGAGGAGGCGGAGGAGGCGGAGGAGGAGGAGGCGGAGGCGGAGGGAGGCGGAGGAAGCGGAGGAGGCGGAGGAGGAGGAGGCGGAGGAGGCGGAAGCGGAGGCGGAGGTGGCGGAGGCGGAGGAGGACGAGGAGGCGGAGGAGGAGGGCCCTCCCTCGGTTTCAGCCGCGGCTCGGTGGGGCTGCCTGCCAAGAGGCCCTGGGTCACGGATGGGCGGGGGGGCGGGGCAGAGCGGCGCGCGGAGGGAAGAACGGCACGAGGAGGGCGAGGTTTTGGACTTCTAGGCTGCTGCGCCTCCCCAAAGCCAGCCCTCCTCGCGGCCATGCTCGGAGGGCCGGAGGGGGGGGGGAGGGGGTGGAGGGCGGGAGGGAGGAAATAAAGGAATGAGAGGAGGGGAAGGGAGGCGGAGGCGGGAGAACGGGGAGGAGGTAGGCGAGATTTCTAAGGAGGCCTCCCAACTCGGGTCTGAGTGGATGGGGTCGGGAGGTCGCGCCGCATCGCCGATACATCGCCGATGCATCGGCAATGTTTTGGCGACGTCGGCGATGCATCGGCGACATCGGCGTGGAGAAAACCGTGCTCCACATCGAGCCGCATCGCCAATGCATCAATCCTCGGACCCCATTTACTGCTCTGACTCCATCACCAGACCCTCGACGTCCGACGTCATGAGCTTTTCATGATGTGGATCCCCAGCGTTTCTGTACCCATTCTTCGAGACCGTTGTTTCACCCCGCATCGTTCTTGGACGGTCGATAGAGACCTCCTAGATGGAGTCCGAGTAGATGGGGTTGAAGGATCGCGCCGCATCGGCGATGCACCTTCGATAGATCGGCGACGTCGGCGATGCATCGGCGACGCCAGCGCTGAGAACACCGGGCTCCAAATCGAGCCGCATCGCCGATGCATCGACGATACGGCGCGATCCTCCGCCCCCATCTATAGTCGGCCCGTATCGTCAGGATGCGCGATAAGGATGCCAGGGCCTTGGACGCCCATCTGAAAGCTCTTCGAGCGGGGCGCGGCCAACGAAAAAGTGGCCAAGGCTGGACCGAGGAGGCGAGGATGCAAGGACACCCTTGGGAACGTGGCCCTTCCTTATCATGCGGGTTGACTGCACTCGAACCCCATCTAGGAGGCCCCGGGCCTCTCTCCTCTGCGGTGAGGGGCAACGATAGGGGGGACTGGCATAGAAGGGGGAGGCATCGACCTGGAATCTCGGCGATACGTCGCCGATAGATCGGCGATAGGCCCCCAATACCGAATCCTCACCTTCCTGTGCAGGTTGGGGCCGTCGGGCCCCTGTCGGCGATCAGTGGGCGATCTGGGGCCGATGCATCCCCCCCTGTGTCTAGGAGGAGGAGGGGAGGAGGAGGAGGAGGAGGAGGAGGAGGAGGAGGAGGAGGAGGAGGAGGAGGAGGAGGAGGAGGGGGAGGAGGAGGAGGAGGAGGAGGAGGAGGAGGAGGGAGGAGGAGGAGGAGGAGGAGGAGGAGGAGGAGGAGGAGGAGGAGGAGGAGGAGGGGGGCTAGGAGCAGGAGGAGGAGGAGGAGGAGGAGGAGGAGGGGGAGGAGGAGGAGGAGGAGGAGGAGGAGGAGGAGGAGGAGGAGGAAGGATGAGGAGCATGAGGAGGGGGGGGGAGGGAGGAGGAGGAGGAGGAGGAGGAGGAGGAGGAGGAGGAGGAGGAGGAGAGGAGGAGGAGGGATGCAGGAGGAAGAGGTCCCCCCCCCGTCGTTGCCCCCGAGGCGGAGCGGTGTGCGCGCCCGCCTCTCGTCCCGGGCGGCCAGCTCCCGCGCGGCCGCGGCCTCCGCGGCCTCCGCCGCCGCCGCCTTCGCCCGTACCGCGGGGGGGAGCGGAAGAGCGGGTGGCCCCGGAGGGTCGGCGATAGGACGCTGGAGGAGGAGGAGGGGAGGAGGAGGAGGAGGAAGAGGAGGAGGAGGAGGAGGAGGAGGAGGAGGAGGAGGAGGAGGAGGAGGAATCTCGGCGATACGTCGCCGATAGATCGGCGATAGGCCCCGATACCGAATCCTCACCGTCCTGTGCAGGTTGGGGCCGTCGGGCCCCTATCGGCGATCAGTGGGCGATTGGGGGCCGATGCATCCCCCCCTGTGTCTAGGAGGAGGAGGGGGGGGAGGAGGAAGAAGAGGAGAAGGAGGAGGAGGAGGGGAAGCTAGGAGGAGGAGAGGAGGAGGAGGAGGAGGAGGAGGAGGAGGAGGAGGAGGAGGGGAGGAGGAGGAGGAGTTTTAAACCCGCGTGCTCCCGCCCGTGAGGGGTGCCCCTGGTCGGAGGAGGAGGGGAGGAGGAGGAGGAGGAGGAGGAGGAGGAGGAGGAGGCGGAGGCGGAGGCGGAGGCGGAGGCGGAGGCGGAGGCGGAGGCGGAGGCGGCGGAGGAGGAGGAGGAGGAGGAGGAGGAGGAGGAGGAGGAGGGGGAGGAGGAAGGGGGGGGGGCGGGCGGGCGGGCCCGGAGGGGCGGCGAGAGGACAGCGGGCGTCCATAGAGTTCGGTCGGGCATGTCCTCCTGCAGGCGGATGTTGAAAGAGAGATACAATGATCAACGACTATGCAAACATAGCCAACAACAAATCCCAAAGTCGTCCCCAGACTATTTGCTGAACTGTTTTCGAATAGCTTGGAGAGACAGGCAACACGTATCAGAAGGATGCACGGTAACGATGCAAGGACCTTGGACGGCCATTGCGAAGCTCTTCGAGCGGGAGGCGGCCCGCGAAAGCGGCCAAGGATGGGCCGAGGGAGCAAGGATGCAAGGATACCCTTGGAAGGTTTCCCATCCTGGCTATGCGGGTTGGTTGCAGAGGAACACATAACGACATAAACAGAACAACTCGGAGGTCCGCGCTCATGTCTCGGATCGGCGCTGGAACTTCCTCCGCGCGCCAGGGTCGGCGACGGCGGCGAGGGGGGCCTGGCTCCGATCCGAGGAATCCGAGCGGATCCCCAAGGTTTTATGCTGATGTCATTGTTTGTTCCCCTAGTTCAGGAGGGGGGGCTCGCAGACCATATTATGGCCCGAGGCAGCTGCGCCGACGAGTTGGGGGGAGCCTGTAGGTGCCTCCTGCATGGGGTCCGAGTAGATGGGGTCGGAGGACCGCGCCGCATCGCCGATGCATCGGCGATGCCTCGGCGACGCAGGCAATGAATGGGCGATGTCGGCATGGAGAAAATCGAACACGGCATCGCGCCGCATCGCCGATGCATCGGCGATGCGCCGCGATCCTCCGACCCCATCTCCCCCGACCCCACCTGGGAGGCCCAGAGCCTGGGGACGTGCTGAAACAGGGCTCCAGCTAAACAGTGTCTTAGATGTTCGTTTCGTTATCGTTTTCCGTCGCTCGGTCTTTTTCATCTGCCTCTGCTGCGGAGCGAAGTCAAGACGAAAACGTTCCCCGAGATCCCCCAAGCAACGTTTAGCTCGAGCCCTGTGCTGAACGGAGACAAGAGAGGGGGCCATGCAGGCCGCAGAGACTTCGTGGCGCCGGTCCTGGTATCCGCCCCCGCCCAGTCCCCAGTCAACACCCCCCCTCTTTCGGGGGCTCGCAAGCATGGATCAGCGAACCATGGATCTGGCGCGCGCAGGTGCCCTCCCCAAAAGTGCGGCCGGTGCTCCCTCCTTCGGCAGTGCAGGTCCGCGATTTTTCCCACGTCAGCGGGACCCGTCGCTGGTCCGCGCCCCCTTGATCCACGTCTTACCAGCCTGGAACATATCCCTATCCCTATCCCTATGTTGGGCATCGCCTCATCACGATGGCGGTCTTAGGGATTCCCCAGTTTCTGGGGGTGCATCCCTAAGATTGTCATCTCTGAAGGGGCCCCAGGACACACAAATAAATACAAACAAATAAACAGATTCCCAATATTTTCCCATATTTTCTGGGGTTTTGTCTTCCCCCCCACTTCCCATATTTTTTCTATATTTTCCTGGGGATCGACGAGTAATTGTGTCTGTGTGTTTTGTCCCCTCCGGAGGGGCGTCGTCGCCCCTGCTCGGCGCGCTCGCCGGGCGCGGGGGCACGGTGGGGCCGGCAAGGAGGACCCGGGCCTCTCCCACGACATGTGGGCGGCGCGCACCGAGGGGGGTACAGTCGGGGCGTTGACCTAAGGAACCCTAAATAAGGAACGAGGCCCCTATTTTCCATGAGTTAAACTTCGATTTCATATCGAAAACCTAAGGGAAACCTAAGGCAAGCTGCGAAACAATTCAGGAGCACGGAGCCCCTCCCCAATGAAAAGGGTTCCTTGTTCAGCGCCCCGACTGTAGGGGGGAGCGGGGAAGGCTTCTGAGAGGGAGGCTGCCTCTCGGAGGGCGCCGGCCCTGCATCTATAAGATAAGGCCCGCCCGCGCCTTCCAAGAAGCAGGGGTGCGTCTACTAGAAGCCTTCCCCCCTACCCCCACCCCCTCTGCGCGTGGTCGAATCTGTTTTAGGTCGGGCATGTCCCCCTACAGGCGGATTGTGGAGGAAAAACAAAAGAATAGTCAACACACCGTCAACAAATATTCAAACATAGACAACGCATCGTCCCCAAACTATTTGTTGACTATTTTTTGACATTCCTCCTGTAGGGGGACACGCCCGACTCAAGATATGCTTGATGCGGTCCTCCGACGCGTGTTGCTTCGACGTCAGCCGCGCAGGGGGCCCGCTGTCGGGCCCGGGGGACCATCGAACACACACGGGTCCGGCGCGAGGAGCTGGCCTCGAGGAAGCGGCCGAGGAGGGGGAGGAGGAGGAGGAGGAGGAGGAGGAGGAGGAGGAGGAGGAGGAGGAGGAGGAGGAGGAGAGGAGGAGGAGGAGGAGGAGGAGGGAGGGAGGGGGAGGGAGGGAGGGAGGAGGGAGGAGGGAGGGAGGGAGGGAGGGAGGGAGGGAAGGAGGAGGAGGAGGAGGAGGAGGAGGAGGACATCGTCGGATGTCTGGGGAGCGGGCGCGCTGTAGCCCCGTCCCTTCCTTCCGCGGCCGCGCCTCCTCCCCCTGACTGACTGACTGACTCATGGCTGATGACGGTGATCCTGCAGCCGTGCAGACCTGTCCTGCCACCTCCCCGCTCAGCCCAGCGGGGAGGTGGGGGCGCAATAGGGAAACGGTGAGAAGCAAGATGTAAGAAACGAGGTAATAGAACGACCTAGATAGGGGTGGAGAGCTCCTCCCCCTCCTTCTCCTCCCGCATCCGGGCCAGTTGCGATGCCGCCTCCCAGCTTGCGGGCGTGCGGACTGCCTCTGCCGCGCTCTGCGATGGAAGAGTGCCTGGGGAACGGGGAGGGTGACCGAAGGTCAGCACGGCTGTCCGCGAGGTCCCTGGCAAACCTCCACCACCCGTGGGTGCGTTGTTTACTTAATGGCGGCTCCGGCCTCGTGGCCTAAAAAGGGGGAGAGCGTGGAGGTGCTCAGTCTGGAACACCAATCGATGTTCCACCCCCGAGTGGGCTTGCTTGCCGGAGGAGGAGGAGAAGGAGGAGGAGGAGGAGGAGGAGGAGGAGAAGGAGGAGGAGGAGGAGAAGGAGGAGGAGGAGAGGGTGGAAGAGGAGGAGGAGGAGGAGGAGGAGGAGGAGGAGGAGGACGGGAAGGAGGAGGGAGGAAAAGGGGCCGCAGGATGACGAGGAAGGGAAAGCTGGATGATGAGGATGAGAAAGATGAGGAAGACGACGAGGAGGAAGAGGAGGAGGATGAGGAGGACCAAGAACCCTCCGCAGCGTCAGCGTCAGGAGGAGGAGTATGAGCAAGAGGCAGGGGGAAGAGGGCTGGGGATGGATCGCTCAAAATCTGGCAATCGCTTCAATTGCCCTTCCGGACGTAGATGGTTTAGAGGATTTGGGCTTATCGCTATTTCCTATCAATGTACATCCCCTCCCCCACCCGACTGGGGTCGAACCCGGACCCATGACAACAACCCCCCACGATTTAAATCATATAATATGCACTTGGCTGCACTATCGTAATCGTAAGCGTTTTGTTGTGACAGGGGCGAAAAGTGACGGCATATGACCTGCTGCGCGCAAGCCCATCGCCCTAACAAATAACAATTACCCAGGACATGCACAAGTCTTTCTAAATGTGTGGGGGGTATACCTAGGACCGCTGGGCACAAAACAAATACCCTGGCGACGTACCCAACCCTTGCGCAATGCGGGGCTTAAGTACATCAGGATTGCTACGACGGGGGCGATGATGTAACATGGGCGCATGTGATTTTGCGAGCAGCAATCGGAAGGCTCGCAGGCCCCCGATCCAGATATAAGGGCTACGTAATAACTAATAACAAATCACCCCCGTTGGCTGTGTCATGCGCCCGTTGTACCCAACGTATCACACAGCAACTCTTGAGAGCCCCCGCGGGATACTTGTAGGCGCAAAGTTATAGCCATCGCCTGGCAGATGGTCTGTTTCACAAATCACTCCCGTTGGCTGTGCCATGCGCCCGTTGCGCTTAACGTATCCCGCAGCAACTCTCCAGAGCCCCCCCAGGGACGGCGAGGTCTCGCTCAGGTCCCCGCGGCGCCTCACTCCGCTGGACCCACCAGGGAAGGCGAGGTCTCGCTCAGGTCCCCGCGGGGCCTCACTCCGCTGGACCCACCAGCAACCCTCGAAAGTGTCGACAGTGTCGCAGATTGCAGCCCCCCCAGGGAAGGCGAGGTCTCGCTCAGGTCCCCGCCGTGCCTCACTCCGCTGAACCCACCAGCAGCCCTCGAAAGTGGCGACAGTGTCGCAGATTGCAGCCCCCCCAGGGACGGCGAGGTCTCGCTCAGTTCCCCGCGGTGCCTCACTCACTCCGCTGGACTCACCAGCAGCCCTCGAAAGTGGCGACAGTGTTGCAGATCACAGTCCCCCACCCGCGGCGCCTCAATCCGCTGGACCCACCAGCAGCCCTCGAAAGTGGTGACAGTGTCGCAGATCGCAGCCCCCCAGGGACGGCGAGGTCCCGCTCAGGTCCCCGCGGTGCCTCACTCCGCAGGACCCACCAGCAGCCCTCGAAAGTGGCGACAGTGTCGCAGATCGCAGCCCCCCAGGGACGGCGAGGTCCCGTTCAGGTCCCCGCGGTGCCTCACTCAGCAGGACCCACCAGCAGCCCTCGAAAGTGGCGACGGTGTCGCAGATCGCAGCCACCCAGGGACGGCAAGGTCTCGCCCAGGTCCCCGCGGTGCCTCACCCAGCAGGACCCACCAACAGCCCTCGAAAGTGGCGACGGTGTCGCAGATCGCAGCCCCCCAGGGACGGCGAGGTCCCGCTCAGGTCCCCGCGGTGCCTCACTCCGTAGGACCCACCAGCAACCCTCAAAAGTGGCGACAGTGTCGCAGATCGCAGCCCCCCCAGGGACGGCGAGGTCCCGCTCAGGTCCCCCCGGTGCCTCACCCCGCAGGACCCACCAGCAGCCCTCGGAAGTGGCGACGGTGTCGCAGATCGCAGCCCCCCAGGGACGGCGATGTCCCGCTCGGGTCCCCGCGGTGCCTCACTCCGCAGGGCCCACCAGCAGCCCTGAGAAGTGGCGACCATATCGCAGATCGCAGCCCCCCAGGGACGGCGAGGTCCCGCTCAGGTCCCCGCGGTACCTCACTCCGCAGGGCCCACCAGCAGCCCTGAGAAGTGGCGACCATATCGCAGATCGCAGCCCCCCAGGGACGGCGAGGTCCCGCTCAGAGCCCCGCGGTGCCTCACCCCGCAGGACCCACCAGCAGCCCTCGAAAGTGGCGACGGTGTCGCAGATCGCAGTCCCCCAGGGACGGCGATGTCCCACTCGGGTCCCCGCGGCGCTTCATTCCGCAGGCCCCACCAGCAGCCCTCGAAAGTGGCGGCGGTGTCGCAGATCGCAACCCCTCAGGGACGGCGAGGTCCCGCTCAGGTCCCCGCGGTGCCTCACTCCGCAGGACCCACCAGCAGCCCTGAGAAGTGGCGACCATATCGCAGATCGCAGCCCCCCAGGGACGGCGAGGTCCCGCTCAGATCCCCGCGGTGCCTCACCCCGCAGGACCCACCAGCAGCCCTCGAAGGTGGCGACGGTGTCGCAGATCGCAGCCCCCCAGGGACGGCGAGTGCCAGATCCCCGCGGTGCCTCACTCCGCAGGATCCACCAGCAGCCCTCGAAAGTGGCGACAGTGTCACAGATCCAAGTACCGCAGCCAGGATGCACACACACACACACACACACACGAGTTACGCACAAGACAAGAGGAGACAAGAGGAAAACGAGAGGCGAGAGGCGGGATGAGGAGGACTGGAGACCCCAGTGCTCTATGCAAAACGAATACCCAACCAAAGAAGGTTGGGAAAAAAGGTAAAGGATTCACCGTACGCTGGAACGTTTCGCCAGCGAACGTCGAGCCACACTCAAAATGTCCCCCAGTCACGTCATCACACTTGCGACTCAGATCGCAATCAAGAAAGTGGCCATGATGAGACCAGCGGGCGAAACAACGGGGACTACACACGACCATGGGCAGTAACAGCGACGCGCGCTACATCCGCGTTGCGGAACAGCGCCTCTGCGCGATATAACAAGAACAGCGCAATGTGCTGAGAGCTGCAACTGTCCAGGTGCATTGCGGGCAAAAGGCAGATGAGAGGGGACGTGGCATGGACGCAGGGACGAAGCACAACGCCATGCGCTGCGACGCTCTAGCGCCCTGCGGTGTGCGATCTCCTTTTTGAATCCCACGGAAGTTGCGACAGCTTCGCAGCTCGCATTCCCCAGGAAAGACGAGGTATCATTCTGATGTGCGTAAGACATCCGGAAGAGGGAAACAATTCGTGAACGCCCCCCCTGCCCCCCAAACTCAAGGTTGGCACGGGCGGGGGAGACTGCGGTCGAGGTGCAACTCATCAGACCCACCGTCAATTTTGAACATTGGGGGGAGGGGGAATGTGGCATGAGTGTTCGCTATTTTTTTCCGAGGCCTGTCGCTCTGATGGACCCCCGAAGAGCCCACGCAAGTGGCGACCGTTTCACAGTTCCCAACCTCCAGGGACGAAGTCTTGTTCTGACCTGCGTAGGACGTCACTCCGCTGACCCCCAGGAGCCCACAAAACTGGCGACAGTTTTGCAGCTCGCAGCCCCCAGGGACGGCGAGGTCCCATCATGTCCCATCCTGATCTGCGTAGGCCCCCAGGAGCGCACGGAATCGGAGAGAGTTGCTCGCACATCGCAGCCCCACTGACGCCGGTGTCTCTTTCAAAGCGTTGTAAGACGTCATCCTGTGGACTCCCAGGAGCACACAAAAAAGGTGACGGTTTCGCAGTCCGCAGCCCCCAAGGACGGCGAGGTCTCACTTTGATCTGGGTAGGACGCCGCTCCGCTGGACCCTGAGGATCCCACGAATGCGGCGATAGCTTCACTTCACAATTCTCATTCCAATCTGCGTAAGGCGTCACTTCGATGGACCCTGGGAGCCCACAAAACTGGCGACGGTTTCGCAGTTCGCAGCCCCCAGGGCCGGCGAGATCTTGCTCTGATATGCGTAGGACGCTACTCCCCGCCCTCCCGGAAAAAAAAAACGATCGTGGCGACAGTTTCGCCGCTCGCAGCCCCCAGAGGCGGCGAGGTCCCATTATGATGTGCGCAAGATGCCACCCCGCTGGCCTCCCCAGGAGGCCACGAAAGTGGTGACAGATTCACAGTTCGCAGCCCCAGGAACGGCGAGATCTCATTCTGATGTGCGTAAAACGCCACTGCGCTAGGTCCCTCGGAGTCACTGAAAATGACGACTGTTTCGCAGTTCGCAGCCCCCATGCACGGCGAAATCTCGCTCTGATCTGCTGAGGACGTCACTCCTCTGGATCCCCCAAGAGCAAACGAAAGCGGTGACAGTGTTGCAGCTCGCAGCCTCCAAAGGCGGCGAGGTCTCATTCAGATCTGCGCAAAACCGTTCTACGACCAGAGTGAGACCTCGCCGTCCCTGGGGGCTGCGAACTGTGAAGCTGTCGACAATTTCGTGAGCTCCTGGGACGTCCAGCGGGGTGACGTCCTACGCAGACCAAGGTGAAACCACGCCGTCCCTGGGGGCTGCAAGCGGTGGCAGTGTCGCGACCAGGACCCTCGCCCAACCCCACAGGTTTATGGGGTATCTTATGTATTTGTTCCTGGCGGACCTCTCGTTCATGACGATCGGACTGGCCCGGATGGGATCAGTGCATGTGTGCTGGCTGGCGCCCCCAAAGAGCCGAGCCCTCCCTCCCCTGTCCTCCGACGTCGCAACTCTTTCGTGTCTCCAACCCCCGAGCATCTCGACCCATTCCCCGGGGCCGGCTTTTCATCCCGACTAGCGCTCTGAAGCCAGGAGACGAACTCCAAAGGCCGAACACTTCTTTCCACGCAGGAGCACAAACACCTCGCGAATCAAATGGCCGCTCGGCAGACCGGGCACACCGCACACGCCGACCCACCATGGGCAGACTCACGCTAGGAAACCGTGGCCTGCAGTAGGCACTATGCCGATTTCTGAAGTGCGGGCCTATCCTCGACTTGAGGCCCGGTCTAGTTTTTCGACGCCCTGGTGCTCGAACTTCTTCCTGGTGGTCAAGGCGAAAAAGCCGGATGGAATATCATAAGATTAGTATGTCTCTGTGCGTCCAATGGGAAGCCTAGAACTTGAAAACAATTTGCACGCCCGACATGAGTGAGGAAAAAATGCGGACAATGCCCAACAACAAGTGTTGTCCAAAACCGACAGCGGCCGCTGCTGGGCAGGCGTTTTTTTGCCTTCAGCGAACAACGTCCGCGGCGGCGCGGACAGCGAGTCCTGTTCACAATGAACAGGAACTACTGCTGGGTATCGTAACCCATGTTTTCCGTACCCCTTTCGATCGTCACGATCTGTCATTTCTCTCCCTCCGCTGCTTCCGGAGGCCAAGCGCTCCGAAAAAATGGGCCTCCGTGACTGTTGTTTGCGTCGCCTGCAGGAAAGCCCAGAATCGAACCGATACGTCGGATCGGCGATCGACACGTGTCGGCTCCGCGGACATCGGCAGCCGAGTCGGGAGAAGTCGCATCTGCAGGCTGGCAGGCCTCTGCTGCGAGCTCGGATCCCGAATCGGCATCCCGAGCCGAACCGCATCGGCCTCGGAGTCCATCGAGATCGAACCGAATCGAAGGGGAGGAATCGCAGGGAGCCCTCCTTCGCCTGGGTGCGCGGGCAGGCGCGGAGGGCGGCGGTCGGGGCGCTCAGAGAGGCGCGCCCCGGCGGCGGCACGCCTGCCGCGCGAGCGCGGCGCGGTGCTCCGCCTCCTCGTGGAGGCGGGCCTGCGGCAGTGGGCCGAGGGAGGCAGGGCCAGGGAGGCGGAAGACGCGATGGGGAGGAGGAGGGAGGAGGAGGAGGAGGAGGAGGAGGAGGAGGAGGAGGAGGAGGGGGCCCAGGGAGACACACATTTTCCGAACCTTCGTGTTCAATATTGTATGTACTGCCGTCTTCCCAACCAATCTCAACTGTCATTCTATAACGCCAGGGAAATTGAGGATGATTTGGGTGCGTCCGTTTTTTCCTTCTGACGGAGAGGAGGCGGGAGAAGGAGGAGGGCTGAATAGTCGTTTTGACATCGAGTCACACACACACACACACACACACACGTTGTTAATGCATATTGCATGACTTGCAAATATGTGCAAATTGACTACTACAGACCGTGTAACGGACATGTTGTGCTGCCTGCAACACTTAGGGCAAGCGCGTCCCCAGGGAAAGAGACACATCAAAATGCGTGCGCTCGGTCCGCGAGGGTGGATATACAGAGCCCCACAAATACTTCAAGAGTTACCTTGGTTTAGCTATATGCGGCGACCTAGAGGTTACCAGCCAAAATTCTCGACACGAATGTGCTGCATCAAAGAAGTAATGCGGCAGCTATGGCTCAACTTCCGACTGACTGTTGGATGCGGTGGCTTCTGGAACCAAACAGGTGGTGCGCGACAAAGGCGACAAAGGCTTCAACGCGGGTGCACTTCCAAGCGCACCACAAGGGCTTCAACACGGGTGCGCTGTCCACGCCGGCACGATCAATCTGCCCGCTTGCCTGTGCTCCAGTAGATGGACAGTATATTCGAACCCTTACACATTCGAGGGAGATTTTAAATCACCCCCGCGCCCCCGACATCAACGTTGATCTCAGTAAAGGCGGTGCTGTGGGGTTCGAATATTTCTGTCCACTCACGCCCCCCCGTCGCCACGCCATCAATATTAATTTCGGGGGGTCTGGGGGGCATCTTGGGCCACAGGGTTCGAATCTAATGTCCATGTACGGTCCCCTCAGTGTGAGGTCGGGCATGTTCTCCTACAGGCGGATTTTGGGCGAAAATTGCAAATACTCAAAGACTGCTCAAAGGTAGCCACAAATTCGCTGGCCCAACGGGCCAGAGGCGTGCTAAGATCCTCGGTAACTACTTAATCATATTTCTAAGTCGCGCGCGCGGGGCGGCCCCTGGGGGGCCCCGGCGGCCCGGAAGAAAAGTACCCCGGCCGATCCCCGGCTGACCCCCGGGCGATCCCCATGGGGGAGGCTATTTGTCGCCACCCCTCAAAGGAATCGTGGCCTCCGAGGGGGGGGCTGCCAACGACTACCCCCCCTCCCGCCCCAAGGAGCCCCCTAGAGCCCCCCAAGAGGCCCCAGGGGAGCCCAATACGCCGCCAATGGAGCCCCAAGACGTTCCCAAGAAGCCCCCAAGAAGCCCCCAAGACGGCCCCAAGAGGCCCCAAATAGCGCTCCAGGGCCAGCGGAATGAGCGAAGCGATTAAATTCGCCGGCCCAACGGGCCAGAGGCGTGCGAAGATCTCCGGTGACTGGTTCACAATTCTTCTAGTTCGGGCGCGCGGGGCGGCCCCTGGGGGTCCCCTGGCGAAAAGTACCCCGACCGCAGCCCGGGAAGGTCCCGGGAAGGTCTACTCAGAGATGGTTTTCCTCCTGGGTACGGCCTCTCAGGCCCCCCAGAGCGCGCCAAGAGGGCCCCAAGAGGCCCCCAAGACTGCCCAAGAGGCCCCCGAGACGCCCAAAGGACGCTCCAAGACGCCGAAGATGATCTCAAGACGGCCCAAGAAGCCGCGAAGACGCTCCAAGTGGCCTCCAAGAGGCCTCACAAGAGCGCCCCGAGAGGCCAAAATCATTAATTTTACGATGGTTTTGGAAGGATTCTGGCCTTGTCGCATTTTCGGCTTTCCGATACTCCAAGACGGCCCAAGAGGCCTCCAAGAGCGCACGAAGACGGCTCAAGAGGCCCCCAAGAAGGCCCCCAGAGAGCCCAAACGGGCCCCGAGACGGCCCAAGAGACGCCCAAGACGGCCCAAGAGAGCCCCAAGACGGCCCCAAGAGGGGCCCAAGATGGGGACCACGAACCGAAACCTCAAGCCTTCCGCCCCAAGAGGGCCCCAGGAGGCCCCGAGAGGCCCCCAAGATGGCCCAAGATGCCGCCAAGAGGCCCCCAAGAGACCCCAGGAGGCTCCAAGGAGGCTCAAAAGAGGCCCTACAAGGCTTCAAAAATGTCTCCCAGGCGCCCCCGAACGGCCTCTCAAAAGACCCCAGGGCCTCCCAAAGAAGCATCTGGACGACGGCCCTGTTTGGCCCCAAGAGCGCCGCAAGATGCCATCGAGAGGCTTCCTCCTCCGCCCTTTTCTCTTCCTCACCCTCCTCATATTTATCTTCATCCTCCTCCGTTCCTTCTCATCCTCTTCTCCTCCTCCCCTCCCCCTCCCCATCCTCATCTTCCTCCTTCCGGCGGCGCCGAAATGGCCCCGAGCCCGCGCCGAAGCAGTAGCGATCATGCAATACGGGCCGGCGGAGTGAGCGAAGCGATTGAATAATACAAAAAATCGTCCCCAGACTATTTGTTTGACTATTTTTGAATGTTCCTCCTCGTGTCGAGGGACATGCCCGACTTGATGCTGGGGTCGCAGGGCGCGAGGTGGAACGGCGCACGGTCCAGGAGTGCAGTGCTCCTCCGCCCGCGCGAGGAGGTCGGTCGACACTGGTGCGAGAACACCGCCCATGCACCGCACAATGCCTGGACTCCGTTCAGGCCCCGCCCCAACGTGGTACGGTGCACAGTTTTTGGACTCCTACCCCCCCGTGCAAAAAAACAACTGGTGTTTTTTCTACACGCCTTCCCCTCCCACCCCCCCAATTTCAATGTTCAATGCGGTGCCGATTTTTTTTTCAAACTTCGCCGGTCGCGCGATCAAAATTGCAATGAGGGGCCAGGGGGCTCACCAAACACCAAGTGCTTTTCGCACGGGGTGGTAGGGGCCGATGAACAATACACCGTACCACTCCTGGGTCGCAGATCGACATCGCCTCGGGGGACACCAGCGCGGTACGGTGCACACACATTGTCCGCGGGATTGGGTCATCACGCGCGTGGATATTGCATATTTTGAACATGGACCGACCGTCCCAGCATTACTACAGGCCTACCACGACATGTTCTTAGAACCCAAAAATATTCGAAAAACAAAAACAAGGTTCTTAGAACATAAGCCCGATGTACTAAAACAAGACCGTCTGAGCCAGAAGCGTTCTGAGAACATTGTGTGCAAACCTCAAAAGGTTCTTAGAACACCGTTTGGCAGGCCTATACGCGAGCTAAGACGCTTCGCCATTGCTTGAATATTGCATGCTTTGCAGCGCAACGTCGCCGGCTTGGGACCGTGTAATTCATGGGCATGCTGTGCTGCCGGCAGCCCCCCTTGGATCGGGCCGGGCGAAAGGGGGGGATAGCAAAGGGGGGGGGTGAGAAACAGCTCACGCAGCTGACCTTCCCGGCGCCTCCGGGCCCGCCAGGAGGCGGCCATGTATGAGGAATGGGCCCCTCGGCGGGGCCGAAACCAGCTGCATGCAGCAGACTTCGTACCCCCCCCCATTCCATATCCCCCCTTTCGTTAGGCCGTCCTCCTTCCTCCTCCTCCTCCTCCTTCCCCTCCCTCCCTCCACTCCCCCTCCACTCCCTGCCCTCCCTCCCTCCCTCCCTCCCTCCCTCCCTCCATCCCTCCTCCTCTCCTCCTCTCATCTCTCTCCTCCTTCCTCTCCTCCTCTCCTCTAACTCCTCCTCCTCCTCCTCCTCCTGGCTCCCCCCTCCGGGAAGCAACACCGGCTCTTCGCCGCCCTCCGTGGCATGCCTGGTGCTGAGGGCAGCCCCCCTCGGAGGCGGCAGAGCCCCCTGGGGCAGGAGGCACCCCCGGGTCACAGCGGGTTGCGCTCGGCCGCGGGGCCGGGCACGCAGAGCCTCCTCCTCTCCTCCTCCTCCTCCTCCTCATCATCCTCCTCCTCCTCTCCTCTTCTCCTCCTCCTTCCTACGCTTCCCCTCCGGATGCAACACCGGCTCTTCGCGCCCTCACGTGGGCATGCCGTGCTGCAGGGCAGCCCCCCCTCGGAGGCGGCCGCGCCCCCCTGGGGCAGGAGGCACCCCCCGGTCACAGCGGGTGCGCTCGGCCCGCGGGGCCGGGCACGCAGAGCCTCGCTCCTCCTCCTCCTCCTCCTCCTCCTCCTCCTCCTCCTCCTCCTCCTCCTCCTCCTCCACCCCCTCCGGGAAGCCAACACCGGCTCTTCGCCGCCCCTCACGTGGGCATGCCGTGCTGCAGGGCAGCCCCCCCCCCTTCGGAGGCGGCCGCGCCCCCTATGGGGCAGGAGGCACCCCCGGTCACAGGCGGGTGCGCTCGGCCGCGGGGCAGGGCCACGCAGTGCCTCGCTCCTCTCCTGTCCTTCCTCCTCCTCCTCCTCCTCCTCCTCCACCTCCTCCTTCTCCTCTCCCTCCCTCCCTCATCCCTCCCCCTCCTCCTCCTAACCTCCTCCCCCTCCTTCCCTCTCCTCCTCCTCCTCCTCCTCTCCCTCCTCCCTCTCCTTCCTCCTCCTCCTCTCACCCCCCTCCCCCTCCTCCTCATCCTCCTCCTCCTCCTCCTTTACTACCTCCTCCTCCTCCTACTCCTTCCTCTCCTCCCTCTCACTCCTGCTCTCCTCCCTCCTCGTCCTCGTCCTCCTCTTCCTCCTCCTCCTCCTCCTCCTCCTCACTCTCCTCCTCGTCCTCCTCATCCTCCTCTTCCTCCTCCTCCTCCAACGACCAATCGCTGGGACGTCCATTCCCCGTGCCTTGTTCGATTTCGTGCGCGTGTTTTTTCCGCTGAATTATCAAAGATGCTCCTCGAGGGTCCTCGCCGAGAAAGGGTGCACACGTCCGAGCGATGCCAAGTCCAAGTCGGGCGTGTCCCTCGACAAGAGGAGTCTTCAAAAACGGGTGACAATAGTCTGGACACAGACAGCCTCACA